TTGAGTCTGGGGAGGGGCCACAGTGGGGGAAGGAACGGGGCCCATGTGCCCAGACTCGGCAGAGCTGGGAAGCAGGATCCGCTGCCGGCCCCTTCTGGGAAGAGGTGAAGGGCCAGAGGCTGCCGTGTGTGTCCTCTGGCACTCCCTGCCTGACCCCTTCGACACCCGTATCCTCCTGAGCTCTTCCCCTTGCTCCGCTTCACTCTGCTCCAGGAGCGGCACTGTTGGAATGTGGGGCTGGGGGGAGGAAAAGGCTTTTCTGCCAGCTGCCCCCTTTCCCCCTGAAGGCGGTATAAGCTCGAGGAGCCCGATCCTTACAAGAAAGCCGGTCAGTCATATTTTTGGAAACCATTCCTCGAAGGTGCTGGCCCGTGTGCCTGTCGGGAGCCCCACCTTGGAGCATTCCTGACAATCGTTGCTGTGACCCTTCCACACACCTCTTTGGCGGAAACCTTTGCAGCCCCCACGGCCAAGCCTCTGTCAGGGCCAGGCCTGGTTTGTTTTCAGTGTCTTGCCACCTGCCCAACCCACTCCACTGCCAAGCCTCCTTGCGAGAGAGACAAGCAGGGCCCACGGCAGCCTAATGGGCAGTGGCTGCAGAGCTGAAGAGGGAAACGGGGAGGAGGAAATGGAGCACTTGTGGGGCTTGGAAGAGGAAGGATCAGAGGGCAGGTCAAGCCAGAGGCTGGAGCTGGAAGACTGCTTGCCTGGAATGAAGTGTTTTTAAAAAGATAAAACCAAGAAAGCAGCTGCAGGGGCGGGTCTTGAAGAGGAAGAACCGTGACATCTGTTTATATTTATGCAATTGATGCCCTGCCTTTCTCCCCAATGGGGACCTCGCCCAGGCTCCTTCTAAGCCTCCGTGGAGTCTCGTGAGCAAAAATTCTACTTTGTGAGCTGCTGGCATTGAAGTTGTGAGCAAGCGATTTGGCTACGGCATGAACTAGTTTGCTCTGGAGCCATCCTTCCTGAGCCAAGAAAAATGTGTGAGCCGGAGGTGAAAAAACTGTGAGCTAGCTCACACTGACTCAGCTTAGAGGGAACACTGGACCTAACCCTGTGAGGTAGGTGAGGCTGAGAGGATGTAACTGGCCCAAAGTCTAGGGCAGAGTGAGGATTTGAACCAGGATATCCTAGATCCTGGTCTGACCCTCTGACCACTCCACCGCACTGGAGATCTCTTGGCTGCCAGTGGACCCCCACCCCCAATAGCCTCCAAACACGCCATGTACATGAATGACGGCAGGGATTTTTTTGTAGAAAAAGCCCAGCAGGAACTCATTAGCATAACAGGCCACACCCAACAGCAGGAACTCATTAGCACACACCCTGACAGCACAGCACATTAGCATATTAGGCCACACCCCCATGTCACCAGAAGTGTGGTCATTAGCCACACCCACCTTTTGCTTGTTATTCTGTTTACCTTGTTGTCAAAACTCAGGGCTTTTTTTGTAGCAGGGACTCCTTTGCATGTTAGGCCACACACCCCGAATGTAGCCAATCCTAATGAGTTTCTGCTGTTGGGTGTGGCCTATTATGCTAATGAGTTCCTGCTGGGTGTGGCCAACTCAGGAGCCAGCTGGAACTCCGTTGCTGTGCGTTCCTGCCCAAAAATAACCCTGAATG